GAAGTGGACATGCCCAGGTGTGTCCCGCGGGGGAGGAAGTGGACGTGCCCAGGTGTGCCCCGTGGGGGAGGAAGTGGACGTGCCCAGGTGTGTCCTGGGTGAGCGAGGCGGATGTGCTCAGTGTGTCCTGCCGGGGGAGGGGAGGTGGGCACACTCATGGGTGTCCCCCAGGAAGGAAGTGCACATGCTCAGTCGTGTCCCCCAGCGGGGAGGTGCGCATGCTCAGGCGTGTCCCCAGCGGGAGGTGCGCGTGCTCAGGCGTGTCCCCAGCGGGGAGGTGCGTGTGCTCAGGCGTGTCCCCAGCGGGAGGTGCGCGTGCTCAGGTGTGTCCCCCAGGAAGGAAGTGCACGTGCTCAGGTGTGTCCCCAGCGGGAGGTGCGTGTGCTCAGGTGTGTCCCCCAGGAAGGAAGTGCACATGCTCAGGTGTGTCCCCAGCGGGGAGGTGCGCGTGCTCAGGTGTGCCACCTCCAGAGGAGGGGAGTGCAGGAGACATGTCGTAGCCGCCTCCTGTCCCCTCTCTCCAGCCTGTGGCCTTCTCTGTGTGCTCCCCCGTTGGTGGCTGGAGTGAAGTCCTGCTCCTCTGCTGCCTTCCTGGAAGGGCTTTTCTGTATAAGTCACATCCCATGCGCGTAGGTTCCTCTCTGCAGGGACGCTCATCTCTGCTGGTGTGGGCCTTTCTTCAGCAGCCCTTCTCCAGCCAGCGCTGACAGCGGGGGCCTCTCAGTGTCCCGACGCTCAGAAGGGAGCAGGTCCTCCATCACGGGGTGGTGCTGCAGCCGGGTCCGCAGCCACAGGGGCTGTGTGGCAGTGCTGTGCCGAGACGGCTGCCCCGGAGTGTGGTTCAGAGCAGAGCCCAGGCAGTGCGGCAGCCGGGCGTATCCAGCAGCCCTCAGGCTGTGCTTCAGACATGCTGCCAGCTCTCTGCCACCGCCCTGTCCTGGGGTGCCCTCACCCCAGCTCCTGCTTGCACACCGCGTCCCTAGACCAGGGTCTGCAGACCGGGCTGCTTTTCTAGAGCTCTCTTCCTCTCCCCCTGGCTTGTGGACCCGTCAGGATCCTCAGGCAAGAGGTTTCCAGGGAGATGCAGGTGGAGCTCCTGGCTCTGCTTTAGTGCCTGTATTGGCACTGCCACTTCCAGTGTGGATTGAACGTGGCTGTGTGGCCACCCGAGTGTCCTGCTAGAATCCACTGTGGGAGGCAGTGACTGTGGGCACAGGGCGGGGTGTCCTGCTAGAATACACTGTGGCAGGCAGTGACTGTGGGCACAGGGTGGGGTGTCCTGCTAGAACCCACTGTGGGAGGCAGTGACTGTGGGCACAGGGTGGGGTGGCAGGACGCCATGGCTTTCCTGCACTGGCCACTCCTCTGCTCTGAGTGTCTGCAGCAGGCCAGGCCCTGGGTATCCAGGGTTTCTCCTGGTCATCAGAGGAACTGAGAAGAGGGGACTGAGACAGTTCTAGGGGACATCAAATGGCCCTGCAGTGAGATGGGGGTGGCGGTGGGGAGAGGACGCCCTTCCCTGGCCACACAGCTTTGGTGTGTGGGCCCCTGGGCCCCCCGCGGCAGCAGCCTCTGCTTCGTCGCACCCTGGGGTTCTGGTGTTCACCCGTGGATGGCCCCCTTTCTCAGCGTTGCTGAGAGTAAAGCAGGAAAAGGGATGCCTTTAGTCTGGCCCAGGAAGTGCTCTGCACATGGCAGCTGCGATGCTGACCCAGGCCCAGGAAGTGCTCCGCACATGGCAGCTGCGATGCTGACCCAGGCCCAG